AAACACAGAGACATTCACGTAGAATACACAAGTCTCTAAAAGCACGCCTCCTCAGCGTCTGCAAGCACAGTGTGAGGTGCACTCTCCTTACATGTCTGTGTTCTCGGAGTCTCTGCTTGCATTTGACCACGTGACCTTGACCACTTGTGCATGTGCAAATGTCTCCGGGTGACTCTTTAAGTCTGAAACATCCAGCTGTATACTTGCAGGGTCTGCAGAGATTGCTGCCAGAGCTGAAGGTGCAATGCATGTCCCTGGGGGCCTTAAAACATCGAGCTTGGAAGTGTCATCTGTTGTCAATGGTTCTCAGGAGACACCTGGAAAAGGTAGGTGAGAGCCAGCACCCAGGAGGATCTGAACTCCTCTGTGCTCTACGAGTCTTACAGCTAGCATTAACAAAGTGTAGAGATTGTCATCTCCAAGGCTTTTAGGTTACTTTATAAGTTGTGACCTTTCCTGTTAGTGCAACCAGAAGGCATCAGCCGCTTTTACTAGAAAAGCTCTTTGCGGCTCAAGGGTTCAAAACTTACCTCTGCCTCTGAGCTGCTATGAGGCTGAGTCTGGGTAGGAACCAGGGTTTTCTGCCACCTGGCTCTGTCCTAGCATCACTCTGCTTCTACTGGCCTAGAAGCCAGGAGCTTGGCTTCGATCCACATTGTGTTGTGGGTGGCTAACTAGAAAGACGAAGCACCTGGGTACTAATTATCCTTTCTCTCCTCCCTGGGATGCCTTCCCAAAGGACCTGCACCTGGGAAGAGGCCCAGGCATTAGGACTCACTGGGCAAACATCCTGTGGCGTCCACTGAAGAGCAATGGAGAAGGTTGTAGGCAGATGAAGAAGGGTATGAGGAGAGACAGAGAGACAAGAACAGAGTGAGAAAAGCCAGAAAGGCAAGGCCATCATGTGTCCTTGATATGCCCTGAAAGCCTAAGAAGACAGCTCAGACTCTTCAGGCTTCTAGGCTCTTCTAAACAATAGGGTGTGGCCCACGGGGTATCTTTGGTCCCGACAAGTCCCATTCTTTATGGGATTTAATAAGGAATTCAGTAAAGCAACAGAAGCCAAATTGAAGGAGACTTGTTCTCTGAAATGAAGAGGGCATGGCACACAAGGACAGGATCCTCCCAAAGTAGTTCTCATACAACTGGGACACGGCTCCTCTTTGGAACTCTGTCCTAGCTCTCCTGAAAGTTTGTGTCCTTAACTAGCCTGTGAAAGACTGGCCTTCCTGCGTCTGGGTGATGGGGACAGCACACAGACCCTGCGGCAGCTTGGAGAGATGCTCTTCTGTCTAACATCCCGCTGCCCAGAGGAATTTGAATCTTATGGCTGCTACTGTGGAAGAGAAGGAAGAGGCGAGCCAAGGGATACCCTGGACAGGTATGGATAAGAGAAGGGTGCAATGAGGCAAATTGCAAAATGGCAATGAGGTTGCAAGTGTCTGAAGGACCCCTCGTCTGCATTGGGCTTTCCTTCAAGTTTCCCAAAGAGCTGGCTCTGGACATCGTGGATCTGGACATGGGTTTTCATTGAGAGTGGCACAATAACGTGACGGACTGTCTTTCCTGATGAGCCACTGAGGTTAGCCATTCGTCTAGGAAAGGGACAAGTCACACTGAGCTAGATCTCCCCTTCCCCCCCATTCTTTAGTATTATTTATTTATTTGTTACTTTCTACCCCAGCCACAGATTCCTCTCCCTCCTCTATTCCCAGTCACCCTTCCCAACCCTTCTCAGTTCCCACTCCCCAGTCCACTCCTCCATTTCTGTTCAGGAAAGGACAGGTCTCCCATGAATATCAACAAAGCACAGCATATTGAGTTGCAGTTAAGACTAAACACCTTCCCCTGTACTAAGTCTGGGCCAAGTGACCCAGCATGAGGTGTAGGGTCCCAAATGCCAGTAAGAGAGTCAGAGACTACCCCTGCTCCCACTGTTAGGAGTCCCACAAGAAGACCAAGCTACACAACTGTAACATACATGCACAGGGCCTAGGTGAGTCTCATGCAGGCTCCCTGGTTGTCGGTTCGGGCTCTGTGATCCCCTATGGGCTCAGATTAGTTGATTCTGTAGTGTGTCTGGAGTTCGCTGAGCCAGATCTCTTGATGTTTCACTACAACCACAGACTACCCTTCATCCTACAAGGACTGGCTTGCTAACACACGCAGGATGACTCTAGACTGACCTCTTGTGCAATATAGAGTAGGGATCTGCGTTTGGTTAACTCAGAAGAAGGCAAAATGTAAGCTATCTTCTTAACAACTTTTAAGTATTTTTGTTAAATTTCATAACCATCACTCTTTGGGGGAAGTTCCTTTGTCTTCATATACAGATCCATTTATTTACATGGACATTCAGCCTACATCTCTGGGGGCTTAGCATTGTGCCAGGCATCAAACAAGGTAGTGGAGAAACAAAAATGATTATAACTAAGCAAAAGAGGAATAGAAGTAAATTCCTCATGCTCGATAGAAGATTACACAATGAAGGGAACAGGCAATTAGGCAAAAGTTCATGGACAAAATAGGCAATTACAAGGGATGCACTTTGAGTTGAAAGAATATTCTAAGAGCGCGGTTGATAGAATATCAATCCATCTACACAGCCACCCCTATCTTAGCGCTTTGCTCTTTTTTTACTGAACAGTCGGTCATTTAGGTTGTCAATGAAGGAACTCGGGGGCAATCCCCCACCAGATGGCCTTAAAGACATTTTAGTTGTAGCAGTTAAAGCTGCAGTGCCATCAAAGGTATATTTATCTAATGAGGCTCTACTACATGCCCTTTGTCCTCCATTAATGAGAGAGCTTGGAAAACGTCAAGACTCCAGAGAACACAGCACTTTCCATTGAGATAAGGAAGACTGGCACATAACCATCAGAAGCCTCCATGTCCCATTAATTCTCATGGGGGGAATGGAGGCAATGTTTGAGGTACCTTTTGATCACTGACCATATTTTATCCAAATACACAGAATGTGAGTGGTTAGGAAAATAAGTAGGTTGGTCTTTCGGACACCTGCAGGAGGAAATTAAAACTCAAAAGCTACAGACGGAAACTCTGAATGGCAGTGTCCCTGGTGTCACGTTCTACAAGAACGTAATCTCAACACCACGTGCTAAGTAAGTCATGGACAGGTAATTTGCAACATCATTTAACATTCCCAATGACACTGACTTTAAATTGCAACTATTTGCTCATTTCCCATCCCACCCCTGTAACCATGGCAAATACACACATAAGAGAGCACGGCTCCCCTGGAGTGGCAGCTGAACATGGGGCAGCCATTGACCTCAGTCCCTGGGTAACGTTGAGTGTGTGAGGCAGGGTTATTCTTCTGGCCTGGCAACAAAATTGGTAAAGCTGCTGTGTGAGTAAAGACAGGTTACAAGTATGATCACCTGAAGGCGATGGAGAAGGCATGTAGATCCAAAATGCCTTTATTCAGATAAATACCAGCCAAGCCCAAGCCAGAGTGTGCCCAGAGGCAGCAAGGCAGGGAGGCCAGAGAGAAGGGCCATCCACGTGTGCCTGGTCCCTTAAGAATCGTCCCCGTGTCATCTTTGACCTCCCCTGACCACGCCCTCATGGACGTGGCCAGGCACACCTGTAGGGGCTACTAGGAGGCGGGGCTACAGTGTCTCCCTACAATTCCTCTTTTAGTCTAAAAAAGGATTAAAACTTAATAGTGTAAAGCATCCAAAATTAACAATCATAAAGGTGAAATACAAGAAGATACAATAATCTGCTAGTGCACATCCTAACTATGTCTACTCTGGCTAAGCCCTAGAGTCACGTGGAAAGGGTGTCTAAGTTGAACACCTCCTTCCAATCACCCTTAGTTGGTCTCCGGGAGGGAAAGCGTGAGAGGCACCGTTAATCCTGGCGTCTCCATTATCCTATTTCACAGAGGAAACAAGCTGTGCCCACAACCAGAAAGGCGGCCGTAAGTGGGAGAGGTGTCTTAGACCTGAAACTTCCCGTTAGCTATCCAGTGCGTTCTAAAGTCAGTCTGTGCATAGCCCCAAACGGAGCACTAGGGAGTAACTGTAGATGGCCGCCACTGACTGTCACCGTCGCAAGTGTTCCGGGGATAGCATCTGGCCAAGGAGATGCTGATTTGTCGGGCCGTGTAGGTGGGTCTGAGCACGGGGCACTGGCTCATTCACCGTGTTTGCTGGAGCCCTACCCTAATGCTAGGCTGTGCCAGTTGCAGGTCTTTGGGGCTCCCCTACTCTTTCAGGTTGAGGGTTTAAAGGGGTGCCCCATGGGTATGAAGTTAAGTATTCCGTTACTAGATGCTTGGATGGAGTAGGGTCACTGTACTGACAGGGGACACTTGTGCAAGCTGAAGGGGCACCCTTCCTGAAAAAGCCTTCACTCCCATCTGCTGGAAAGGAAAACTGATAAATGTATTTGCCACCAAGAGTCCCAATGAAAAATAAAAAGAAAACGTAGAAATCCTAGGTAGACACAGTGGGGTTGATGCTGTGTTGGAGGCATCCTATTGGCACTGTACACCACCTGAGCCGCCTTTGACGTGGTAGTAGCCGCCCTCACTCTGGAAAACAGCCCTTGCAAATCTTAGCACCCTTGGGACAGCCCTTGGAAATCTCAGACTTCCTGGTTTTGTGGCAGAACCCTGGGAAATAAAAGGTTTCCTTGGTCTTAGGTGCTGTTTGTCCCATCACTGCTGTTTGGAGCAGGTGAGACCACTGGGCTGCCTGCGTAGGAGTCGTTCTCGGTCATCTGTGGTATGTGAGGACCACACGCCCAAGTGTAAGTGTGGAGGCTGCCTAGAGTCCTTCTGCTTTCATGTCTGTATCCAGGCTGCATCTGGGCTGTAGATGCTACATACCTCCATGCCCTTTACTTCACGACACATCTTTCCACCGATGAGGGGCTTGTGTTCAAGAGCCAGAGTCAGCGGCCTTAAGCATCACAGCTGATTGATGATCCAGTAGCCTGGGCTTACTGAGCCCATGCTGTGGGCTGTGGTAAGCCCTTGGAAGGCACACTTAGTCCTCATACTGATCCTAGGAGGCAGCTCTATTACTTTTGTGTTTCATAGAAGGAACTAATGATGCCCACAGCCAGACAGGCAGAAGGAAGTAGGAGAGTTGAGCTCTAGGCTGGAGAACACCATTCCCTCAGACCCGGAACCACCTCTTAGCAATATCCAGTGGGTTTTAAAGGCGTCTGCCTTCTTCTCGTCAGCAGACTTTGTTCTGTATGTTATCACCTGAAGACCTTCAGGAAGGAGAGCCATGCCTCTGGCTGAAGGGTGGGTCTAGCCCACAGCTCCACTCCTCCCCGTAAGAGAAACCCGAAGTTCCCCATGGCTGTGAAATATCTCATAGAGACGATGTGTAAAAGTTCCATCCCCTGTGAGTATCAGCCCCGAGCACATGGCAAAGCATCCTTAAAAACTGGATCCTGACTCAGCAGTGGATGCGTTTCTCACGGGCTGCTCTGTGGCTCAGAAATACTCCCCGTGGAGTTTTGCTGGTGCTCGGAGAGGCTTTTCTTCTCATTTTTAACTGGGGAAGCGACTGGATGGACCTACTGTCCTCCTTACTGGTGCTCTACGTCATGCACAGCACATGGCACCCTTGTTGTGTCATAGTTGGTGGCGGTGTTTACATGTCACTCACTCAGTGATTCAGTTCTCTACTTAGCCGACAAACCTCCACTGGGGACTACAGGAGTGACTGCGTCACAACACCTGAGAACAATCAGCTTTTAACCAAAGAGAACCATCTCCTTTGGCTCCTGGGTTTCAGTCCATGGTCATTTTGCCCCTATTGCTGAGAGCTTGTGAGGAGGCAGAGTATCTTGGCCGAGCTGCTCACTTTGTGGAGGTTGAAAGGAAGAGGGTGCAGAGATGGGTGGGTGGATAAAAGGCCAGTAGGCCAGGGATGATATGCCCTTAAGGATTGCGCGTGCACGCTCACACACGGGGACCCATTTTCCTCCATCTTATCCCCAGGGTCTTATTGTTAGCACCTCCTAATGCCATGAGATTACAAATCTGTCGATGTACTAGTTCACTGAGGAGGCTAGAGCCGTCAGTATCTAGTCACCCTAAATCCCACAGCTAGAAACCAGGCCTTTACAACAAGCCTTTGTTGTAACACTACCAAATGTGTGTGATCCTTGCCTCACATTGTCACATACAGGAAGGAAAGCAGGCAATGGCCACTCTGATGTCATGTAATACTGCTAACAAGTAGGGTAGCTGTCTTGGGTTGTTAGTTAAGGATTTTTACTCCAGGGACTAAAGGGAAGACCAGAGAATTGGGGGGAGGGGTTCTGAGGTTCTCAGGTTCTGAGGTGGCATGGGTGTTCCATGGTATTATGGAGCATACCTGGGAGCTTAAAAAACAGAACGTGTGCAAGGCGGTGCAAGGCGGATTTGGAGACTGGCCTCAGATGAGAAACAGGAGGGGCTAAATTTCTAACAGGAGAAACAGGCTAGACCATTGGGAACAGGGCAAGCCAGATATCGGAAGGGCTGCGCAAGATGGGGGCTGACAAAAGCAATGACTGGGGGTTGGATAGTACCTTACCTGGTGGTCCCTCACATCTGTTCCTCTGCTCTTGCAAAGGTGTGGGGCAGAGCCTATGTGAGAAGCTCCTGTGTGCCTGTGACCAGATGGCAGCCGAGTGTATGGCCTCTGCCTCCTTTAATCAGAGCCTTAAGTCACCAGATCTACCGGAGTGCCGGGGCAAGCCTGTATCCTGTGAGGATGGCGTGCTTGGTGGAGACTTGGCATCTTCTGAGGCCTCCAGTTCTGAGGAGAATAGTGAGGAGGCCACACCCCAGATGGAGCGTGTACGCAGATTTCTGGAGAAGTCTCCTGGTCCCTTGGGGACAAGGCCACTTGGTGGAAGATAAGATGCTGCATGCCAGGCGTTCTGAGATGCATGAGTTCTCTGGCCCATGGTCCTCTGTCCATTGGAGCCTTAGCAGAAGCTCTGAGGGAGCAGACAGCCAGCTCCTTACGCATGAGCTTCCTGAGACTCAAACAAATGTGCTGATGACGGTGCTTCTCTTCTTCCTCTAGTTCACTATGGAAGCTC